TGTGGGATCATGATCATGACGCACAAAAACGACAACTGACGAGACGAGGTACAATGAATGTTATGCCATGTTTTAATTCGATTCCGGTCTTGTATTACTTGCTTGCTTTTGTACTACTTTCAAGCGAGGAGTGTTCATCAGCATTATGGCAGTCAGGCAAAGCAAAATATATGATGGTTATGTGCTGTAACAATGATGCAAAACAAACAGAAAAACAAAAATGAAATAGTGAAAATAGTGAATGTCCTAGGCAAATATGCAAATGAGGCCGGTGTAATGATGCTAATTCGTGAGGAAGTAGAGCCGCAAACAATTCTTTACAAATCGTAATTGTCCTTGTGGTCGTCAGTAAGTGACAATACATAAATTTGTGGATTGCATAGAAAAATGGTGGGTAAAGTGTAAGTCAATTGGTGGTGGTGGCGGTAGGACCCTTTTTCCACAGCACGAAGTCGTCGAGGAGGGTGGGCCAAGCCTGCAAGCGGTGTGAGCATGGGTCAATCGAAGAGAATACAACGAGCAAAGTCAGACTTGAACTCACTCCGTCACCCTCGTAGTCGCTTAGGTTTGGATTCACAGTATCACAGAACTCCAGCATCATGTTCCACAAATCCTTATTCACGGCTCTGTATGTTGTTAGTCGCTCCTGTAGTCAACAAACATAACATGAGATAATGTTTAGGGTGGTAAAAATAGATAAGCGCGAGGCTAGACGTACGCTGATAAATCCAATGACATCGGCCATTATGGGGTATTGCGGCACCAGTAATACCGACCACAACGCCGCAGCCGTCTACGTACACAAAACCATTAATGAGTACGTGCTCATTCAGCTATATTCGAGCGCTATACGACATACCTCCATCTCAATATTCCTCGACTGCCTATCCACGCAAATGTTCAATTCATATAGAACAATGACGGCATGAAATGACATACTCGGGCTTTGCAAACGCGAAGCAGAACAGATAGAGTTTTCGGAACGCGGCTTTAGGGTCATGGGCATATTTTGAGTACAAAGTCTTGTCGTACACCTCCTTGTCTTTCTTGATCTTCTTATCCGTCGGCGCAAGATGTTTAAGTACAAGCAGATTCTCTAGGTCACGCACGGCAATCGACAGCGCATATAGGTTGGAGATTCTGTGGATTGTGGTGGCAAGTCAGTCAGCCTCAACGAAGCGAGAAACGAAAACGCGGTATGCAGCCACAAGGCCACGAGCCACAAAAATGTGAGGCAGATAATACACACCTAAGGGCCTCTGTACCACTCCGCCATTCCTCCTGTGTGACCTTGCCCATCTCCTTGGCGCTCAGCAACCAAGAGAGCACGAGCGGGGCGGCACCCTCAAGTGGGATCTGAGCGTCGGTGCATAACCGCGTGTAGCCATCAGGCCCGATGACGGATGGGTCTTCACTGTCGGCGTACACAGAGAACAACTGCTTGGCGAGTGCGGCGGAATAGGGCTGGTTCGTGCCAGGTGGGGGGGAGAGGGTCTGCGACCGGGCCCTAGTAGGTCCTGGTGGAGGTGCGTTGAGTGTTGTGGGTGTCTGCGTTTGAACCAGAACCTAAGAGTAAGGAGGGTATATAGGGAAGAAGAAAAGGAGGTGCACCTCAGGAATATGCTTTTTGTGGGCGAGTTCATCATCGTCACTATAGGCACGTTTTATGTTGTCAGAAGAGCAACAGAAAAATGACGACAAGTGCATGGGCAGGTCATCCAACAGTGTGTGCGGAACTTGGAAGATGAAGAGGCAATGTAATATAAGCGAAACTCACTTGTGGGGTTCGTGCCCCCCTACACCGCTCTTCTGGAGCATTGTTAGACGCGCCAACCCCTCAGGGACAATGCTGCTTACCTCAGCACTGCTCCTTTTTCGGAGAAATCGCCAAAAATAAGGTGTAGGTGAGGATTCGAATAGAGTTGGCGAAGAGGGGGTCAGGATTAGGATATTATCACGGAGCGCGGTGGACTGACTTGGTAGACGACGCAGGGGCCTTTTTTCCTTTGACAAGCTCGGTAGATTTAGTGGCAGTAGTCTTGGTTCCAGCCTTCGTCGTCTTGGTCTTCTTCTGGGGGGGCATCCGCTCTTCCTATATACATCGCCAAGTGGTTAGATAGACAGATAACGAGGGTAGAGTACCTTGAGACACGTGGAAAACATACCTCTGGATTATCCTCCTCATCGTCACCCTCTCTTTTCTTCGCCTTTGCCTTTGATGCCCTGGCAGTAGAAGTAGTGGTAGCTGCCTTCGTCATCGTTCGAGTAGAGCTGCGGGTTGCGCGCGTCGAAGTAGCCGCCTCTTGTCCGTCTTCGGTAGTGCGTTTGCGCTTCGAATTACGTAGGCTTCAATTGGGAGCCTAATTTCGAACTGAAATGGACGGGCGTACCTTGGGCGGCATGGTGAAGTGAATTAGCGGATGAAGGTGGTTAGAGACAAAGTAGTTTGAATTCAAATTGAGGCGACGCGACCGCCAACGTGACTCCGTGACACCAGTCGGCCCGTCGACCCTCCTCCTGCTCTGCCATGCCGTCAGAAATCTTCAATCCCAACCCGACCATATTCAGCACAAAGCCTACTGTGCGCAAGTCGGATTTCTCCAAACAGTCACTCTGGATCGATGAAAAGACCCAGTGGAACGATAATCCAGACGAGCCTGAACCTATCGACCAAGATGAAATATTCGGTACGTGGTACTAACCCTTCGTTTCTAAGCACGCCCATCCTATTTCTATTCGTCAGATCTTATCCGTTCAATTGACGACCCAGAGCATCCCAACACTCTTGAGGAGTTGCGTGTCGTATCCGCACCACAAATAAATATCAAGGGTAATAACATCCTCGTGGAGTTCACACCTACCATACCGCACTGTGGTATGTCGACGCTCATTGGTGGGTTCGTTTTATCTGCTTTACCTATTTTAATTACTGATTGAATCCAAGGCCTTTCCATCCGGGTGCGTCTCCTTCGAAGCCTCCCCGATCGCTTTAAGATCGATATTCTCCTCAAGCCCGGCTCGCACCAGAGTGAACATGCTGGTGCGTCATTTCGCTTCATCTCACGAATCCATCTCCAATAGTGTTATGTTTTCCGTTCCGACATGCAGTGAACAAGCAACTCAATGACAAAGAGCGCGTTGGCGCGGCACTTGAGAACCCTGCGCTATTAGAAACAGTCGAACAGTGTCTCGCAGGTGCAGGAAGGCGTGGGCACTCTGAATGATCGAGAGGCTCTCATGTCCAGGGACTCTGAAGTCTGTCTATTACGCGTCCGTGAGATGTGAGCGCGACGCTGAGAAAGAAGACACACATGTATGTATCTATAGCTTGTACCCTGATTTTAGATCTTGATTTCACTGTGAATCGATGTGTGATGTCTTGTTGAGTTAAACAGATATTATTTAATGGTGTGAATACCCGTTCGGAAACCACTGAATCGCGATTAAAAAAATATACCAAAGCTCAGGTTATATAATAATATAGACCGCAGCATAACAATATTGCAGTATATCTCAGGTGACTGTGTCGTTCTATAACTGAGGGAACTTGCTCTAGTCTTACATACATCGCTTCAACTTGGGGGGATCACACATAATGGACCGGGGCGCTACCCCGGCCTCAAAAAAATTGGAGGAGGTCACAAACAGACATATGGTAAAAGGTAACCCCGGAGAAAAGATGACAAAAAATGCGAGTCGCGCGGTATATGTTTACCCTGCCATGTTAGCGCCTTCCGTCTGCCTGGTCAGGGATCAGGGAAGGACAGCCCACCACTTCGGGTTACGCGATCGCCCCCCTCCAAAAAAAAACCACGCAAACGAAACACTAAAGGAAAAATAAAAGAAGAATACCGCGAGAATTCCAAGCCGCGCTAACAGGTTTTATGGTCCACAGTGTCAGCCGCTCCGCCGCTGGGTGAGGACGGCGAAAACGGCCCACCCCAGTACCACGCTGTCCGCCCCGCATCACCCAACCCTCAGAACCCCCTCGGGCCCTTTGGAGTGGAATTCGCAAGATGGCACAAACTTGGGGGAACTCGAAGAAAGGCTCCAATACCATCCCACAGTGTCACCCATTCATCACGTCCTCGGGACGGTCAGAGCGTGGCGCGGGGTAGTCGGGCAAGGAGCTCGGCAAAATAGGGAATTATACTACAAAAAGATAACGGTCTAGAGAATGGGACTCACCGACGACCAAGGGCCGAAAACGCGATGAAAGGAAAGAGAGCAGGAGGAAAGAGGGAAGGGAACCAAGGAAGCTGATGTGGGAGGGAAGGAGGGAAAAGGTAAGGAGCATTGAAGCGTTTTCGACAGTTTTTATAGGTAACTCTAATTTCGTTTACAACCAGTGGGCCGTATGTCTACATTGGGCAGGTGGAGTAAGAGAGCAAATTTGAGTCTCGCCCAGCAGACTGAATGTCCGCATTAGGAAGTGCGTTCGACCGTGGCGCAAGTCACATACTCATTAGTGCTGGGGCATCGCCAATTGTTAATAATGTCTTGTTTTAGAGTTTTTAGAGGTTCCTATGGCCGCCAAGTCTCCCTGCAGACTCTCGTTTCGATTACGACCAGTTCCGAATTGGGGAAGTGACGTTTCACCAAATTGCTCGAGTGAAAGAAACATCTCATTTCCAAATGCGGGGCCTACGTCTACCGGTTGTAATGGTCATAGTAATCATCGCAAGGAACAGTACAGTGCATGGAATCGATGCTGGAATCATGCTTACAAGTGTAGGATCATCGTATTTTTGTGAAACATGTACAACCTCACATCTCCAGAGACACTATATGTCCACTATATGTCCGGATCGGGCAACATCGTGTGGCGCACGTCGATACATGTAATTGCGAGCACGAATTCAATCTCCCCAAAAAGCTACACATTTACATGATGGTGATCTATAATAATTAAAAGTTTATATATGATTACCAATTCTCCGAATACACGCATGCATCGGTGCCTATTTCGAATCAAAGAACAGAAGTAAGCGATATCTGAGTACATTAAGAGAGAATCGAACTCCCGGTGGGTCGACATCGCTGTCGATTGGCAACGACCCAGGTTACCACTACCCCATTAATGCTATATTGCACGAAGAGTAGCACACCCTCATGTTAATTTTTTGTGCTAGGTCTAATATGCACTGTCCTAACTCTCACCAAAGGACTCGTTAGCACTCTCAAGATGTATGTCTCATGAACCCAATAAATTGGAATAAGGATCGAGGAAGCTTATCTGTCCTTTTTTAATCCAGACTGCGTTTTCGGCCAGTGGCCACAGACGTTCAGGTCAGCGTAAAAAGTACTTCGATTGATTTCGAAAGACATCCAGTCGTACAGAATTTATGAAAAATTGTGGAGTTTGTTGAAGTAAGAAATATAACTAGGCGAGAGCAGCAATGACCGCGGTGTATGCAGCCTTGGGCTTGTAGTTGTTGTCGAATAGGAGAGGGGCGGCCGAGGCGCGCCACGAGTTCTGGTCGGTATAATTGATACAGGGCACTGATGAAAATAAGAAGGCCACGCACAGCGTCGCTGACACCCCAAGACGTGATACCAACACATTGGGATACGGCCAAGCAAGCCTTGACGACGGTGGTGTAGTCATTTGTGGAAGCGCCTTGGATGTCGAGTTCGGTGATCGCGACTTCCTTGACTCCTGAACTAGCAAGAGCAGTGAGCACTGCTTGAGCGCCACCGGCGCCACCGGCCTAATGGGAATTCATTCAGTGCATGGGACATAATATAGCCCAGGGTAGATAGTTACACCAAGATGCATCTGGGTGCCAATACCGTCAATCAGCGAGGTGCCAACGCGCTTGACCAAGGCAACCATTCCCTGAGTCTTGGCGTTGTTGGAATCCAAGTTATAGTCATTGATGTAGAGTCTGTTTTTATGGTTGAATATCGACTCGAAAATATGATAGAGATACATTCATACTTAGCGGAGGGGTCTGCAGCCCTAGCAGCCTGGAAAGCAATAGTGATAAAGGACTATGATAAAGACGTTAGACAGGTTCACAACTGTGGTATGACACCCTACCTCGCCTAAGACGTTGTAGAATACGCTAGAGCGCAGACTTCCGTCCTCGTTCAGGCATTCACTGAATAGGTGTTTAAATAGAACTAAGTTGAGAGCAGCAAATAAACATACTTGACGACATCCCACTTCCGAATCATTCATGTGTAAGCAGTTATAAAAAATATCAAGAAGATATTTTCACATACAGCATAGAGTTTTCCTTTGTAGCGTCCGGCAACATTCGCTATGTGGCTTTGGATGACCGATGTCTAAAGCCGCTTGGGGTAATAAGTACGGTTCCAGCCCGTCAAGCTAAGGTGACCGACCAAAGTTGCCTTGTCATTGATGGAAGAAACCCACGATGGCAGCTGCGAGTGCCAGACTACAATCAACCAGTCAGTCACGCGCTAAAAATCCTTACAAGTTGAGCTCCGATACCCAAGGTGTGTCCACGGATGAGCTTTCCGTTAGAAACAGCCCAGTTCACAAGGGTGTCTGCGCCGGAAAACGTGAACGATCCACGATTGTCTAAAGGCGGAAAATTAGCTATCCGATATACAGTACAGTAGGGCTCAGAAATTGACTTTCGGTGGCGTCCCACTTTGTCGAAAATTGTTAGGGTCGATTTGCAACTAGAACATCAAAAATTGAGCGCACCTTCATAGAGTTTTCCTAGAGCAAAAAAATGCTGTCAGAGATGGCATGACTGAAGTAAACAGATAGACTAACGGGTGTGACTTGACCGAAATCGGATTTCAGGATTGCGACGTTGGCTATATTTTCATGCACTCTGTGACCTCTCCCACCGATCTGAAAACGGACTTAACATACCGGCTATGTTGAGGGTGTTGGAGTCTGCGCAAGAGCCCTAATGACAGTACTGACGGTCAGTGCTGACAAACATGCCGGGTAGCGTTAAAATAACAAACCCAATATTTCTTCCCTTTACTCTTAAATTTCCCATCAAGTCCGCTAAGGCTAGTGGCTGTCGGAGAGGGTGCTGTTGTAACTCCGGCTGTCGTAGTAGCAGATCCAGATGGTAGACATCTGTCAGCTGGGTCAGCTAACGCCATATTACCATTTCGAAAACAGCTGACTGGGAATAGTAGTCGTTCGAGTAAACACAAGTGCTGCCAGCGTCACCTAAAACGAGTAGGTGAGAAAGCCGCTATAGATCCAAGGGGAATTTCCACTAACAGTTTTTCTAAGGAGACGGAAGTCAAGATGGTGAGGAAAACATCGCCTCTAGTGGATAGTGAACTCACATCTCCAGTGTAACCGATCCCGCCACCTGAAAAAAAAAATTCAATGGCCAATCGAAAGGTTAAAATCATGGAGACCTACACTGTCCCCAGACAGCGACGCCAGCGACACGCTGAGCCACGAGCATCAGTACAATAATAGGAACGAGTTTGAACATATTCTTCTTTCTGTGCAATGAGGTAACAATTGTTCAACGACCCGCCTTTTATACCTTCATTCGTGCATAGTACTAGTGTTCTCCGAGTTTCCTGCTAAACAGTTTAACCACGAGATAATCCGTTAAGAACCCGGGAATCTGAGCGATCATTGCAACGGATGAATCTCGCGACTTGACTGGGTGATGAAAAAGTGGTTCCTGCGTCGATTATGTGCGCTAGAGCATAGGGTTTCGAGCATATCACCAAATTTAATCTGAACACGAGGCGCCCAAACTGCAACCGTGTTGTGGCGTGCGGTGTAATCTCGGGTGGAGAACAAAGCAGGTGCTGAAGTTCAAGCCTCAAGAGTCGGTTGAATTGAGAGTCCAGACGCAAGGTTGGCGCCAGCTGGAGAGGTGTCATGAGGTCCAAGTTTTTTTACAGGGACTGAAACTTCCGACCTGCCTTAAACGTTTGTACCCTGAATGGTAATTCATGATGCACTTCGACAAAAAAGGTTTGTAAGAGCCTGTCGCACATAAAAAATCCGTTGCCAAATGTGATTTGAATGATCTATAGTGATGCATGACTTCAAAAATCATTCTAAATCAAACCTTGCATATTCCATGTTTTCAACCTGCCATTCTTGGGGTGCTCGATACTATAGCAGAAGAGCAGCCTCCAGAAATAGTATACTAGTGCCTGTAATCTGGGAATACATACAGCTTCGCCGTATGTCCGCCGGGGTAATGTTATGTGGCGCACATCGAAATCGTGCATCTGTGCAATTAATATTACAAGCACCACTGGTTATTAAGTTTAAACCATTAAAAAAAGTCCCACTATTTTAGAGTGATGCCTGAGGATTATAATACGCAAGGGGCATATTTTCTCTGAGTTAATCTTTCGAAGTAACTGTACTTATACGGACTACAACCCTATATCGCCAGGCACGATGATAATGATGCTTAATTCCTTCATGAGTGCTCAAGAAATCTCAGAAAATAGAGATGCGAGTGCGCTTCCTATCTAGCTGACTCTCGTAAAAATATGCGCCTATGCCACTTTACCTAGTATCCAAATCCTTTCACCGCAAACCATGTAATGCATTAAGAGAGAATCGAACTCCCGGCGGGTCGACATCACAGTCGCTTGGCAACGACCCAGGTTACCACTACCCCATTAATGCTGATATACAGTGAAGGCTTTACCCTTATCACTGTACAGTGCATTGCACAGGCCTTATTAAAACTTGCAAAAAACTTGTTCGGGGTACGTAGCAGGAGTGCATAGCGTTTCTTCGAGCTGCGATCATTTTATCAACGGTACCATTTGCCGTCTGCCGGAAGTATTAGGATCTAGGCAATTTCGATGCGGCGGCTAGAACCTCACAAAATGGGCGCTATTCAACAGAGGCTAGAACAAGTACGGTTCCGATTGCTCAATAATGTCCACGTCCTGGGTGTGGGTATGCGCGCAATAGTCCCCTGGAGATTAAAGAACTGCCCCTCACATGTGCATAAAGCCGTCCGAGTCGTACCTTAGTCAGGACTGATCAAAATTACAAGACTTGGCTTGGATTCTGTCATCATCAGGTCCTTGAACATGTGTGCAATGTATGGATTAAGGCGTGTATGTGTAGGAGCAATGGAGGTAAAGGGAAGCATGGTATAGTGTGGTATATTATACAAGTGTGTGTGATCAGGGGACAAGTCTGAGAGTCTGAGACGGGTGAAGCTACAAGTGCCGGACTATAGGGCTACAGTTGAGTAACAAGAAATTTATCGTCAAAGGGATAAAAGAGGAGGAAGAAAAAAGAGCGTGAGGCAGCTGGGAGTAATCTAGAGTCCAGAGAAAAATGAAATCGAAAATGAGAATATCCGCGCAAAGTGTGGGTATAGGTATGCGCGGGTCTGGGGAATGGTAGGCCGTGATTATCAGGATTTACAACTGGATGGTGCTTGCGGATGCTGGGTTGGTTTGCATATGTATGAGTGATGGGTATGGTGATATCGATACAGAGGTCGGAACTGGGAAACCGGTGAAGAAATATCAGGCACATTCACGAGGCGTGCATGTGTATCCGCTCCTGGTGTGCCTGGCGTGTGTGTGTAACGCACGCGAGAAAATCGTGGCTCAGAATTCATTAATGGTTGCTGCGTGGCGAAAGGGTGGAGAACCTCAGTCCTCGAGCAGGAAGTCCCAGTCGATCGCTGTTTCGGGTGCCCTACGGACACACCCAAACATGCGTTTTAGCGCCTCTCGATGTGTATTCTCAGGCGCGCGGGTCTGGATGTCCCACATACGGAAGGCAACACGGCCACGGGTGTATACAACGACATCATCCTCGTCGTCTGCTTCATCAGACTCAGATTCGTTGATGCGTGCGTTCGCGAGGATGCGGTTGACGAAGCCTGCACTGAAAGAGGCTTTGGATGTGTGGTGGATCTGGCCTCGGAAGTCAGACGGTAGCCAGACAGTGACGTCTGCATTACCAGCTTGCACTTCAAGATAGAAACGTGAACGCGGGTATTGTCGGCACTAGTAGAGCAGATGTAAGCGACTGAAGGTGCAGATTGGATCGATCACATACCACTTTTACTTTGATGGGAGCATCGTCGCCGCCGACAAACATGCTCATGCGGTAGTCGACGGGCTGGTT